TCTATTCCACAGCAGGGTGAACACGGTCAACAATGTCTAAGGGAATTTTTCAAAGTCAGCTGGAAAGAATGGTTCTGAATGTTCTCTCCACAGAGAAACAACAAGCATGGAAGGTCACAGAGATGCCAGATACCGTGATTTGATCATGAAACTGTGTATACATATATCAAAATGTCCCTTGCACTCTCAGGTTATACACGTATGCTCTACAGCAATGAAACTGCCATCAAATGTTGGTAGTACTCATTCTAACTAGAGTGAGACAGAACCTGAGTGTGGTTTTCATTTACGTTTTTGTGTGCTATAGCCATGTGGAGAATCTTCTCTTTTACCTGTGCATCAACCTCATGTTTTCAGGTCCTCCACCCAGTTTTACACATCAAATTAAAAACAAATTCACAATAACTTGGCAAATATAACTAATCACACACACATACACAAAATCGAAACCACCACTCATATTCCATCTCACTCTAGATGGGATGCATACCACACAAAAAAAGTTGAAACATATTAAAAGACAAAAAATGATGGTGTAGATTTCCACAGAGGGGGAACTTGTCTTCACAATTCATGGGAACATACACTAGTATCCACACTAAAGAAAACACCTGGAGTTTCCTCCAAACCTTACAACTACAACTATCATTTCATCCAGCAATTCTACTACTAGGCATGTATACAGAGTACATGAAATCAAGCCATGAAAGAGATCATCTGTGTTCCCAGGTGGAATCCAGCTCTATGCAGAATAGCCAAGATAAGAAATCAGCCTACCCGTCGATCCACAGATGAAAGGATAAAGAAACTGTCTCATGCATAGACACTGGAATCCTCTTCAACCAGAAAAATGCAATGAAACCCCATCATGGTAGCTAATGGTTGCACCTGGAGGACATGATGGTAAATGAAATGAGCCAGGCAGAGATAGACAACCTTGGCATTCTCTCACTCATGCAGTAGCTGAGAAACTTTACCTGAAGGACCTAGAAAGCATAATCATGGTTACTAGAGGTTGGGGAGAAGAAGGGGAATGGGCAGGGATTGGAAATGGGTACTAAGTTCCACATAGATGAGAGGCAGGAAATCCTGTTCTTCTATTCCACAGCCTGGTGACCAGGGTTAACAGTATCATTGCATCTTCAAAACAGCCTGAAGAAGGTTACAGAAGCTTCTCACCACGAAAGAATAAACAATGGTACGAAATAACAGAGACACTAAACACCCTGATTTCATCATTCTACAATGTAGGTAAAGATCAAAACATTGCACTCTACCTTCTCATTGTATTCCTTTACTGTTTGGCAAATTTGTTTAAATAAATATAAATACAGGATGCTAAAATTCACATGGGACCATGAAACACCCTGAATTTCTTCCAAAGCAATCCTAAGACATCCAGACTACATCAGATACATCTCATCCACTAATTTCAAATTTCATGGAAAAGCTGGGTACCTGCTTCCATACATAACAGTGGAACACAAGAGTGGACCCAAAAGTAAACCCACACACCAAAAACCATCTGATCCTCAACAGAATCCACAACAATAAGCAAGGGGGAAAGAATGCCCTATTCAATCAATGGCGCTGGGATAAGTGGCTAGCCATCGGCAAAAGAGTCACACTGGGCCCCTGCCTCTACCAGACACAAAAAGAAACTCCAGAAGAATAAAATATTTAAATGGAAGTCCTCAAACTATTAAAATCCTTCAAGAGAACATATAAAATACCTTTCTCCACATTGGCTTTGGTAAAGAATCTATTTGGCTATGTCCCCAAAGGAAATCACAACAAAAATTGAAAAGTCAGGCTCAATACTCTAAAGAGCTGCTACCCAGCAAAATAAATTAGCAACAGAGTAAACACACAGCCTACAGAGTGTGAGAACATGTGCCCAAACTGCATCTGACCAAGGTCTAATATCCAGAATCTTCAAGGACCTTATGCCAATCATTCAGCCAAAAACAACAAAAAATCCCACTAATATATGGGCAAGGGATGAGAACACTTACTTCTCCAAGGACAATGTGCAAGTGACCAACAATGAGGAAGGCATGCTCAAACTCACCCATCAACAGAGAAATGCCAATCAAAAGCAGGTCGAGACACCATCCCACACCACCCAGAATGGCGATGACTATGCAGACAAACAGAACAGACACTGATGAGGCAGCTGAGGAATGGAAATGCTGATATGGTCTTGGTGGGGAGGCAAACTAGTACAGACACTGTGGAGAGCAGTTTGGAGATTTCTCAAGGAACTAAGAACTACCATCCAACCCAGCAATCCCACTCCTGAGGATCTACCCAGAGAAAATACATCCTTCCATCCAAAAGACACAGGCACTTGTATGTTCACGGCAACATCATTCACAATGGCAAAGAAATGGAAATCAACCTAGGTGCCGTATATACCATAAAACACTACGCAACCACACACACACACAAATCACTTTTTTGGCAGCGACATGGATGGAGCTACGGGTCATCATCCTAAGTGAACTACGGCTAGAACAGAAATCCAAATGCCACACATTCTCACTTGTAAGTGGGACCTAAGCTATGAATGTACCTGATCATAAAGAAGGGAACAACAACACTGGAATGACTACCAGACCAGACAGAATATGCAAATGGGAGGGAGACAGTGTTGCATCCTGAAGACACACCTTGTGCATCCTCTGCTCGCTGCCTGGGTCATGGGGTGGTTGGGACCCCAAGCCTCAGTATCATACAATCAACAGATGTAACCTGTGTGTGTACCCTTTAATCTATAATAAAAGTAGAAATTATTACACACACACACATACACACACAAAGAAGCTTAAGAGCTACATAAACAAACAAACAAACAAAATATATATGTAAAACATACAGTTATCCAAACAATCCCTTACTGGCAAACACACAGAAAGACTAACTTACAGACAAAATGAGAAAGCCAAAAACAGCCCAAAATTTCATATGGTGAATGCATTTTTCAAGAGAACACCAAATATCACAACGGTGAAGAGAGAAGTCTGTTCTGTAACTGTCTTTGAGTAAAATGAATTGCTACCTGCAAAACAGTGAAATGGGCCCTCATGTTACACAAGACACAAAAATCAACGTAAAGTACATTAAAGATCTCCAACCAAACCCGAAAACGCCCAATTCCTAGAAGAAAACATAGGGTGAGCGTTTACTTCAGTGAAACTTGAATCCATACACACAGATTGCCAAAAGGAAAGAAAACAAAAGGGAAAAGCAGGAGAAAAAAACCCACAGACAATGCAATTTTTTCCCTTTTTTGTGATGGGACACCAAAATCACCACGTACGCATGCAAATACAAACATGTAGGACTATAGAAACCTTTAGGCTTCATTCATGGGAATGAAACCAATGGACTGCAAGAGATTTCCTACAGATTTGGAGACAGATTTGAAAAACTGTAATTCCGATAGCGGTTGTTATCTAACGTGTCCAAGACACTAACATCACTGTGTTTGGGGGAAAAGAAAAGACAAGAACAAAAACAAAAACAACACTAATGCTGAAGCTAAAACTGGGCAAAGGCCCTTAATAGACATTTCTGAAAAGATGACGTGAATTGACTAACGAGTCAAAAAGAAGTTGCTCAACTTTATCATTTCTCCCACAAAGGTTAAGTCCAAACCACAGATCCGCTGGGATCCTGGAGAATGTGAATTCTGACTCAGTAGGTCTGGAGTGAGCCTGCGATTCTGCATTTCTAAAAGTTTCCTCCCCACCCAAATCCACATACGTGTATTAATTACCAAGTTAATACAAATGGTCAAAAATAAAAGGGGAAGCCATTAGGAGATAACCTCAGTCTTCCTCCTCGTCCTCCTCCTCCACTGCATAGGTTAAAGGATGGTCCTCAGCGTCTTGATCCCCCAGGTCACCGACACCAACTCCAAAACTCATGCCAGGAATGTCCTTCCCTCTTCTCCTTCCTTCAGGCCATAATGAGTGTCTCTTTTTCCAGCATCTTTCTCCCAATCTGTCCTGATTCAGCCACCCTCTGTATCTGCCTCCCTGGGACAAAAGGTCAAACTCACCTGCACCCCGAGCAGGAGCAACAGCAGCTGCCACGTAGGCTGTCCCCAGCAGAGCTCAGCGATGGGCACCAGGTTTACAATACCAGTGGGCAGTGGTGCTGTTATTGCATCCCATGGGGATGGAGTGGTAGTCCAGGCACAGACAGACAGACAATCACACAGCAGGAACAAATGCACAAGCTGAAATTTAACCAAGACAGAATTATTGGGGAATAGGGGCCACAATTGCAGAAACGAGTGCCTCAATAATTAGAGAACTGAGGCCATCTCTGCCATGGCCAGGATTCCTCTCTCCCTCATCTTCCTCAGTCATCAAAGAGATTCCATTAGGGTGTCCGCAAAGGATGCTCGGGCCTGCTACTCCCAAAAAACAGCAGCAAGCATTTTCCTGGGGAGAAAAAAAATGCTCACAAGGATGGGGTTAGATTTAGCCATAAACCAGATTGTGTGGCAGGAGGGAGCTGCGACTCTGGCTGGTACCAGCAGGCCATCCCCCTTTGATCACTCAGAAATTGGGGGAGCTAATCTGGGGAAAGGCACCAACACCTGTTCATCAATGTCTCAGTCCTGTGTGGTCATGGGCCTGTGTGAGGTCTCAGCAGCTACCTCTCTTAATGTCTCCCCAGGGGACAGCAGGGTGAACCCTGGGGCAGGAAGAGAGGGGAAGCTGATTTGCATAAAGAACTTTTTTTATCCTGTTGGGTCTGGGGAGGCATGAAAAGGCCCTGAGGAAAACAAACCCCAGCTGAGAAGCCTGAAGACACTTAGCCTACATGAGTGTCCTCACCATGGCCTGGATGATGATTCTCCTCGGACTACTTGCTTATGGCTCAGGTCAGGGGAAGGGACTCTATCCTTGTGGGGACCACACAAAACAGGGTCCAGGTTACTCTCATCCTTATGATAACAACTGTGTCTCTCCTGTTGGTTTTAGGGGTGAATTATCAGACTGTGTGGTGACACAGGAGCCATCGTTCTCAGTGTCCCCTGGAGGGACAGTCACACTCACCTGTGGCCTGAGCTCTGGCTCAGTCTCTACCAGTCACTACCCGAGCTGGTACCAGCAGACCCCAGGCCAGGCTCCACGAATGCTCATCTACAGCACAAACAATCGCCCTTCTGGGGTCCCTGATCGCTTCTCTGGGTTCATCCTTGGGAACAAGGCTACCCTCACCATCACAGGGGCTCAGGCAGATGATGAATCTGACTATTACTATAGGCTGTACATGAGTAGTGGCATTTCCAACCTATGAGGAAGCGCGACTAAAACCTCTTTACATACTCAGAACAGTTCAGCCCTTAGAGAGGAGGGAAAGGGAGAGGGTGGAAATGGTCAATGCCACCAGCAAGGAGTCCCCTTGCCCCAGTCTCTTATGCCGGGGTTCACTGCCAGGTGCTTCATCCAGTCTCTCCTTGGGTGTGTCCACCTCCCCAGTGTGACTTTTCCATGACTGTGCTTCCTCTCTCCCTCTCTACCTAGAATAATGTGGAGGGAGAATTAGCTACAAAATATATAAGCTCACAGTGAGTCACAGAGACCCCAGTGCTCCAGTAAGACACTTCTTATTCAGAGAGAATTAACAGGTACATGCTCATTCATTAATTTGACCATGGAGGCTGACTTAATATTTTATTTATCAATGAACTGGAAGCATTTTCAGGGGGCTTGTTAAAAAATGCAATTCTCGGTTGGGTGCAGTGGCTCACACTTGTAATCCCAGCACTTTGGGAGGCTGAGGCGAGTGGATCACGAGGTCAGGAGATCGAGACCAACCTGGTCAACATGGTGAAACCCCGTCTCTACTAAACATTAAAAAATTAGCTGGACATGGTGGCGCACATCTCTAATCTCAGCTGCTTGAGAGGCTGAGGCAGGAGAATCCCTTGAACCAGGGAGTCAGAGGTTGCAATGAGCTGAGATCGCGCCACTGTACTCCAGCCTGAAGTCAGAGTGAGACTCTGTCTCCCCCAAAAAAAAAAATGCAATTCTCCAACCTAAACCTACTAAGTCAGAAACTTGTGCTGGTGCCAGAGAGCCAGTATTTAACAAGCTGTACATGAGATTTTTATTAGCGTTAATGTTTGGAAAGAACCTACTTTTATTATTATAAAATTATTCCTAGGGACCTCTGTTTAAAACGATCTCAGGTAACATTCCATGATCCTACTCTCCTAAATTCCCATTCAAACCCCACCCCCAACAAATACTCAGAAACAGGTTTAACATCTCAAGCCATAGCAAAAATTTTAACTTGATTTATGCAGAGTTGGGAGGAATTTCTGAAAGCATACATTCCTAGATGCCAGGTGTGGTGACTCATGCCTATAATCCCAATACTTTGGGAGGCTGAGGCAAGAGGATTGCTTGAAGCCAGGAGTTTGAGACCAGTGTCTTCCACATAGCAAGACTCTATCACCATGAAAGAAAAAAATATATATAAGTACCTTTAGGAATTTCAAAAACCTGTTACCTCAAGGTATATTTAGTGGTGCATATGAATATCTGTTATTGAAAACCATCCCATGGAGGACTGGCTTCCAGAATCCCTTCTCCCTCCCACTGAGCTCACCTACCTGTGGCTCTGGCTCTCAGGGTCTTTGTAGGATCCAGGGCTCAGCCTTTCCCATCCTCTACCTCTTACCACAGATTGGTCCACAGGATCAAGGTTCCACTGAGATATGAAACCTCTCAGCATAGATATGTACATGTTCTGAACAGTTTCTCTTAACATAATGCTGGCAAGACGGGAAGGACCGAGGGGTGATGAGGCCTTGGAGCCACCATAAGATGGCAGTGACCTCACTGCTGAGCTTTGCCGGGCCAGACTCAGCCTCCCACCCTCCTCCCTTCCTCTGACTTTTTCTCCTGGCCACCAGGGGTCCAGGAGCTTCCTCCACTCAATCTGGACGTTGGGGTCACCTCAGAGAGCCTCTCAATAAGCCAGAGGAGGTGCTTCAGGGGATCTAACACAAGTAAAGGCAGATTTTAAGACTGTCCACAGAAAACCCTGTGGAAAGAAACAAACCAGCCCTACTTGGGTCTGTGCACCTGAGACTTCAAGACTGGTTTCCTGATCTCCTGGCTGTGTCAAGATTGCAAATGTGCGGTTTATTATCCAGATAAAGAGAAACGCATGACAGTTTATGAAGACAAAGACAACAACTACCCTATCTACTTGTCACACAATTAAGACACTGGCCTTAGATCTGTCAGTGCCCTGAAACATTCTAGAAGAAGACCTGAGTTACAGAGCGAAACTCCATCACACACACACACACACACACACACACACACACACACACACCCCTTCTTACTTATCAGTTCTGGTTCAAAGCAAGCAGAAGGATGAAAATAAATATAAGAACATAAATCAATGGAAATTGAGACCAGGCACAGTGGCTCACACCTGTAATCCCAGCACTTTGGGAGGCCAAGGTGGGTGGATCACTTAAGGTCAGGAGTTTGAGACCAGCCTGGCCAACATGGTGGAACCCTGTCTCTACTAAAGATAGAAAAATTAGCTGGATGTGGTGGTGCATGCCTGTAATCCCAGCTACTTGTAAGGCTGATGCAAGAGAATTGCTTGAACTTGGGAGGCGGAGGTTGCAGTGAGCCAAGATTGTGCCACTGCACTCCAGCCTGGAGGACAGAGTGAGACCCCATCTCAAAAAGAAAATTGAAAGCAGAAAAGATTTGGAAAATTAAACTAAAAGCTAGCTCTAAAAGAGCAATAAAATTGACAAACTTCTAGCATGCCTGACAAAGGGAAAAAGAGTGAAGAAAAAATTAATAGGAGCTATCAGTACAGATCATGCAGACATCAAGAAGATAAGGAAATACTACAAACAGCTGTACAAACATAATTTAACATCTGAGATGAAATGGACCAATTCCTCAAAACAAAACAAAACAAACTACCACTTCCCGTCTATTATAAAATAGATAATCCAGTTATATAACCATTAAAGACATTGAATTTGTAGTTAAATAATTCTTGAAATAGAAATCTCCAGCCCCAGATGGTTTCACTGGATAATTCTACCAATTGCTTAGATAATTAACACCAATTCTAATAATCTTTTCCAGAAAACAGAAAACAAATCACTTCCAAATTTATTTTAAAGTTAAGAAAAATAGTACATGCTGGGCGTGGTGGCACACACCTGTAATCCCAGCAGTTTGGGAGGCTGAGGTGGGCAGACCACTTGAGTTGAGGAGACCAGCCTGGGCAACATGGCGAAATAATGTCTGTACAAAAAATACAAAAATCATCCAGCCATGGTGGCATGCACCTGTAGTCACAGCTACTTGAGAAGCTAAAGTGGGAAGACTGCTTAGAGCTAGGAGACAGAGGCTTCAGTGAGCTGAGATCATGCCTTCACTCTCCATATTGGTGACAGAGTGAGACTCTGTCCAAAAAAAAAAAAAAAAAGAAGAAGAAAGAATAAAAAAAAGAGGAGGAGGAGGAAAAGGAAAGCAATACAAAGAAAGAAAACTATAGACCATCATGAGTCATGAATATATGTGTAAAAATTCTTAGTTAATATAAATGGAATTCAGCAATATACAAAAAGTATTATACACCATTACTAAGTGGAGTTTATCCCAGGAATATAAGGCTGGTTCAATGTTCAAATATCAATCAATCAATGTGGTTCACCATATTAACAAGCTAAGTAAGAAAAATCACATAAGATTATCAATTGAATTCTGCAGAAAAGGCATTTGAAAAAGTCCAACACCCATTGACGATAAAAGCTATCAGAAAACTGAGAGAGGAATTTCTTCAACTGAATAAAAAATATCTCCAAAAACCCCTGTGGCTATCATTATATTTAATAAAGACTGAATGCTTGGTCTCTAAGATCAACAACAAGGCACTCAGCACTACTATTCAACAAAACACTGCAAGTTCCAGCCAGAGCAATAAGGAATAAGAAATCAAAGGTACAACAGCCAAGATTTAGAATCAACCTATCAACAGACAAATGGATAAAGAAAATGTGTTACATACACATGATGGTATTATTCAGCTACAAAAAAGAATGAAATCCAGTCATTTGCAACAACACGGATGAAACTGGAGAACATTATGTTAACTGAAATAAGGCAGGCATGGAAAGACAAATTTCACGTTCTCACTCATATGCAGGAGCTAAAACTTTAAATAAGTGAACTCATGGAGAGTGGAATGGTGGTTACCAGAGGTTGGGAAGAGTAGTAGCATTGGGGTTGGGGGGAGTGGGAATGGTTAATGGGTACAAAAATATAGTTAGAATGAATAAGACCTAGTATTTGATAGGGTGACAGAGTGACTACAATCAATAATAGTTTATTGTACATTTAAAAATAACTAAAATAGTGTAACTGAAATGTTTGTAACACAAATGATAAATGCTTGAGGTAATGATGGATATCCCATTTACTCTGATGTAATTATCACACATTGAGTGCCTGTATCAACATAAATATATGGACCCCATAAATATATACATCTTCTATGTCCTCATAAAAAATTAAAAATAATTAAATTTAAAAAAGAATTAAAAGGCATACCAATCAGAAAAAAAGAAAAAATTGTCCCTATTTACAGATGACATGATTGACTACATGAAAAGCCCATTAAACAACTCCTAAAACTAATACGTGAATTTAGCAAGGTTGCAGAGTACATCAACATATAAAAATTAATTGTATTTGTATATACTATCAACAGACAAATGGATAAACAACAGACAAATGGATAAAGCAATGAACATGTGGACACTGAAATTAAAATATAATACTATTTGTAATTGCTCCACAAAAATACTTTGGTGCGAATCTGACAATACAGATGCAGAACTTATATGATGAAAACTAGACAGTGCTAATGAAAGACATCAAAGAAGATATAAATAAATGGAGAGGCATAGCATGTTCATGGATTAGAAGACTCAATTGTAAGGACACCAGTTTTCCCCAAATGGGACACAGTTTTAACATTATTACTATCAAAATCCAAGCAAGTTTGTTGTTGTTGTAGATGCAGACAAGCTCATATTAACATTTGTTTGGAAACATACATGCCCTAGAAATACCCAAAAAGTTTTGAAACAGTTCCACTGGATCTTTCACTGTCTTTGTAGTTTTACCTTTTACAGAATGCCACTTAGGCAGGGCACAGTGACTCACACCTGCAATCACAGCACTTTGGGAGGCCAAGGTTTTTGCAGTTTTGAATAAAGCTGCTATGAACATTCATGTGTAGGCTTTTGTGTGTATATAAGTTTTTAACTAATTTTGGTATATATACCTAAGAGTGAAATGGCTGGGCCATATGATAAGGATATGTTTAGCTTCGAAGGAACTACCAGATCATCTTCCAAAGTGGCAGTATTCTCAAAAGCAATAAATGAGCCTTCCTGTTTTTCCACATCCACATCCTTGTCGGCATTTGATACTGTCAGGTTTTTGGATTTTAGCCTATCTAATAGGTATACAGTGGTTTCTCGTTGTTTTTATTATTTGTTTATTTATATATTTATTTATTTTAGAGATGGGGTCTTACTCTGTTGCCCAGGCTGGAGTACAGTGCTATGATTACGGCTCACTGCAGCCTCAAACTACTGGATTCAAGTGGTTCTCCTGCTTCTGCCTCCCAAGTAGCTGGACTGCAGGCACATGCCACCATGCCCAGCTAATTCTCATTGTGTTTTGTATTTGTAATACCCTAATGACATATGACGTAGAGCATCTTTCCACATGCTGTA